TCATATGCTAGGAACTGGCGCGTTTGTAGAGAGGGTCTCTGTATTTGAGGGTTTGTGGAACTCGGTAGTTTTGGGAATCAAGGCTCGACATCCAGGAAACTCCAATGAGGCCCCATTGACCTCTCAGAATTGGGTGAACAGTCATTTTTATGGAGTAGAGCCTACAGAACTGGGACTCCGTATTTACATGTAGACTATGGGTAAAAATTTGAGACCACTTAATCGTTCCGGCCGGTATGAAACGATACAAGCTATTGAAATTGTCTGGTTGGGAATGATGGGTTGCCGGTGTGATTGGTCGGGAAGATTTATGAAGCAATAGACTGCTTAATGTCCTTCACACGTCAACGTGCTGGCACTATACCTGCGGAGTGTAGTCGTTGACGATGCCAAAGATGAACTCTTCGTAATGACCGCGACCCTCGAAAGTATCTTGTCCAACGATACCGCCTTTGACGAGACCGTTAGCGCGTTGGTAGGCGCCCTTCTCATCTCTGACGATGAATTGAGTAGTGACATCGACTTCCATTACGTCGCCATTTGTGAGAATGTACTTAACAAATAGGCCTTCGGTCTCAAGCAGCCCAGTGGTAGGAGGCCAAGCTGCCTTTCCGCCCCTCTGGCGAACCTCCATGCTCGCCATGTCGCAGCTAACAAGGAGAACCTCTCCATCCTTTGCAACATAAGATCGTCTGCTCTCATTGCCGTCGTAGTCGAGAAGGTTGTACCAGACGATAGAGTAAGGACCAAAACGAGCGTGTCCCCAATCCCAATAACGAGGACCATCGATGATAGACTGATTGCCCCAGTTCTTGTCGTGGTAACCAATACCGTCTTCGAAAGCGATAACAGTATCCTTGACGGCGAGATCGACAACGGTCTCGGCATCGGGGACCGCGTTAGCCCAGTACAGTCCCGGCAAGAGATTCTGGCTGACGCCAACTGCGCCATTCAGGTCGCAAGGGTAATGGGCGGGAGCATTCTGTAATCTCCAATATCAGCCTCTTGGAATTGTACAACGGTGAGGAATAGAATTGAGGAGTCACTCACGGCTTTGAAGTAGATCCTGCCATAGATACCCATGTCTTCGGAGTCGATGTTGATCGTGTATTCAACGTCAGGCTTGTCCAGCGAGGTTCCACTGAAGCTCCCAATTCCTTTCCAGTCTCCAGTAATACCATGGGGGCCGTTGGTGAGATGAACCCCAGCATCGGCCATAGCTTCGAAGTAGAAGTCTGTACCATTGGGGTACACTCCCGAAACCTGGACAGCGAGAGGATGCGGGTACTGTGCAAAATCTCCCGAGTTGAAGAAAACAATATTCAGAGTCTGGTTAGTGGACTTTGAAACAACATCAAAGTACCAGAAGTCGGTAGACTTTTTGGCAGCCGGGGTAAGCATCTTGAACCCATCAAGGTTTCCCGCCACCGAGAGATGCTCAACGCTGATAGTACCGTTGTGGTAATGAGGAGGTAAGTCGAGGACCCGAGTGATATTGCTAGTTGCAGCTCCGTAAGTCGAGCTAAGCGTAGCAGCAGCCAGAATAAGCTTGCAGAGAGCCATTGTAACAGGTGTCTAGTTTGTTGTTCAAACGAGTGCGGAAAAGCAAGAGAAATGATAGAATGGAAGGAACGAACGAGCGACCGATAGCATGTGAGGATCAAATCAATTCAGAAAGGAAGAGCGAGCTTCAGTATTTAAGGGATTTGAGGGACCTCAAAGTCACGTACGCTTACGTGTAGATGGCGAGTAAACGATACATATCTCAAGATATACGAATGCGCGGTGAAGTAGAGCTCAACTTCGGACTGGGGCACCAAACTTGCCCCAGAAACCCCTGTCCATGAGCAGAATCAAGCCCTTTCAGGTTCACACAAATCCCTGGTTCTCGGAGGAGAGGATAATTTTCCCGACATCAGAGGGAATTCACCTACAAGTCTACTTCTCAACGACGTGGAAATGTCCAATGGCTGTCCTTCAATAGGCTGTCTAGAAGTCCTTTCTTCTTCACGGCGCTTAATATGAAACCATCGAACAATGAGGCGCGGCTTGTGGCTGGTGATACTCGGACCGCGTATTCGGATTTTTGCGCGTACCACCTTAGTTCCAGTCAACCTGGGCCGGGCTTGCTAGCCACAGTGATCATCAAGTGTCCATTAATCATTGCCCCACAACTATATCATAAGGTGAGATGAACTCAGGCCTAGCGATTGCACGGAGTGTCATCTTACAGCAGGATGTATAATAACGGGGAATGTGCGGCAGCGGATTGGGTCATTGACGTTCCGGCATCGCCTTGGTGCCCTTGTACCCATCCCAAATAGTCACTGAAAAGGTCTAACATAATTCATCGAGGGGCCATCACACGATGATGAAGCTTCCTCAGTTATTAGAGAACAGGATTGGGCCATAAAAAACTTCCGCCGAAAAGCAGGACCTTGAATCGTTGCAGCTTTCATGCCTCCGTTTACGATACTAGTAACCGTCATTTCCGAGGAACAAGGTCGGTCAGATAGGCATCCACATTAGACCAGAAGCTGGAGCCATTTCTGGTTAGAATAGCAATCGCTGTCCTCTCCACAGGCTATTTTCACAAGCAATGATATACCGTGCTTTTTGAGCTTTCCAGAGGTGTATTTCAAGGATGAGTCTGAAGAGGACGAGCTCTGTTTCTAGTGTTCACGAAACAACTGCGGACTGGAAAGCTATAAAGACCTTAAGCTGCCCAACGAGTTGGATGGAACTCCATGAGTAGATACCATTGAATGATGCTCCCTATCAAGAAGGCGGTACTTGCAGCAAACCCAACAACTGAGCTCTCAAAGATTCGGTTGTTCAAGAGCAACACACCTGTGACAATGAAACCGGCTGATGCCACTGCATTCCATGCCGCCCCTTGCCATTCGCCTGCGAGGATTCTTGGTTTATACCAATCTTTTTGGACATGAATGACAAGAGTCATATTAGCAATAAAGAACAGAGCCCCTCCAATGACTTGAGGCATGAAGACGAGAGCTTGTGTAAGAAAAAGATCCATCGGGTTGAGAACCCCCGGAAAGCCAGCCACTGCCGCCACGGAAAGAATCAGGCCGCCGGAAAGCATCACCAGGCCAGCCTGGAAAGGAACAGTCCGTAGAAGGCTGGCGAAATCGGCAGCAGATGGGATCCAGAGCCATGCCTCAGAGCCAATGAGGGCGGGTCGATAGATGGCCGGGGTGTTGTCATCGATGGACTTGGTGTCCCTCTTCTCGAGGGTACCGCGGTCGGCATTGAAAGCGGCGAAAACGCCGAGAATGCCTCCAGTCATGAACATGGTGGCTCCGATCGTGATGGTCGCAGGGAGAGCAACGGTTGGGAGGGTCTCGAAAGCGAGGCTTGGCTCGAGGCTAGGAAAGAGCCCGAATCCTGCATTGATAACGAAAGAAACACTGCCAACAACGAATAGCATTGTGACAATCCAGTTCATGTCTTTGTAAGGAAATATTGTGAACATTCGTTTCAGCTGGGACCGCTGCGATCCTTCAACCTCGATGGCAGAATCCTCGATCGAATACTCTTTTACAGGCGACGGTAGAGCAGCCTCTCGATCCATTTCGCATCGTACCCGATATTCAAGGTAGTTCAGAGTTTGTACGACCCGACGCCTTTCTCCGTCGCCAACTTCGATTCCCCGGGAATGGGCGGTCGCAACGGTGTCGAATCGTGAAGGGCCCGGGGGTACCGGGATCAGCACCGATGTGCGAATCATTGAGGCGCGGAGGTTGGCTGAGGCATTCATATTGGGGATCGGATGATGTCGACGTTTTTCAATTTGAGGTCGATAATGGTGATGAGTCCCTGCGATACCGGCTCGCTAGGATTGGCAATGCTGAAGGGGGAAAACAAGTCGGAAATACTGCTGAGATAGAAACAAACAAATAAACAACAAATCGCAAATTATTATAGGCGCTACTGAGAGGCCACGGGGGATTTCGGGTTGCCCAAGAGTATATAAGAAGAGAATGAAGTCACAATGCGGAAGAGTGAAATAAGACAGTTGTCATCCTCTACCTATTAAGAATGCAAAGAGTTAAGGCTCAGCGAAGAAGTGTCAATAGCGACAGACAGCAAAAGTCCGTTGCCGTTTACTTGATCCAACTTGACTACCAGCCGGCTCCCGCAGAGCGTTAGGGGTGGTAAAAACCGGGCCAACGTTGCGTTGAGATCATCGTGAATGTTTTGAGAATTCGAATATCCTAATCCTCAGACAAGAGATGGTATTATAAGAAATAAGGTTGACACACCCGCTCCCGCAAAGTCAGTTCTGTTGCACGGTTATCCCCTGGATTCGTGTCCTCAATGCTCCCACCGGGCTTACCAACCTTAAGTGTTGGGTCGGTGACCTACTGCGGATCCCGCGGCCACGAGCTTGTTCCCAATTTGTTTCTGCGCTCTGTCATTGCAAGAATTTCCTCGTTTCAGTCCCTTGCACTAATAATGCAGATCAAATCAGCTCAAGCCTGCCACTCTTCTCCCATTGTCATCTGAAAATTTTTTTAGTCTGATTTCCCCCTCGAATTCTTGCAAAAACTGTTTGTCGCTCCTTCAACCCATAAACACCCTAACATTTGTGACATCAAGAGAGAGACAGGGACTTTGATGTTCTTTGGCCATGGGGCCTAAGACGAACATTGCGTTCAGATCCATGTGCCCCTTTTCAACATCAACAAGGCCAAGGACCTCGATGAATGTACCTCAACGGATTCAACCCAACATAAGTTCTTGTCACAAAATTTTGCACCTAACAATGAGCATTTCAAGTGGATCAAATAGAACTTGAAATGACCCATCTTTAACGAAGAAACGAGAGCAGTCTATATACCAAGGAAATCTGAGATCAACGTAAAAAGCCACGTAGCGGAGTGGCTTAAGTGTGCGGATGCTATTCCTCTCTCGTGTCAAGTTTCATCTGCTCCTTGGTCTGGTACCTACGACCATGTCGTCGCTCAATCATCGCCTTTTTACCTTGACCCATGGACTGAGATAGACAAACCGTCGCCGATTACCCGAACAATATCGAATACATGGGAGCCGCTGAACGTCTTGCTCCAAAGCACCAATGTCAGCGTAGCCAAGCTCTCAATCTGGACGACAGGATGCTGATCCTCGTCTAGCCGACCCCCAAGCTCCGTCTCTTGCACCAAAACGGTGACCAAATTGATCAATCTGCGCTCGTCAGGCTGCAGTGAGATGAGGCCAGACTCTCGCACAGCTTCGGAAAGTACCTTTAACCATTGTGTGAGCAGAAAGGCGCACTCCAGGTTGCAAAAAGCATGCTGGATGCTCCAGTTCAACGTCTGAGTGCGCGCAACGAATGCGATGCCAACTCTGACTGGGATACTGAGGGCGTGTATACACTGTAACACGGCCTGGTTCATGTGCATTGACCTATCACTGGCGGTAAGGATTGGTCCGGAAAATGCGGCGGCTATGCTTTGTGCGTCGTCTCGGGCAAGAACCCGTCGCTCAGGACCGAGGCCGATGTTAAGGCGGATGTAAGCCAAGCGCAGGAGTGCGGTCGAGTTGAAGCCCAGTGGCCCCTTCGAAGACGAAGGGTCTGTCGTGGATTCGTATGTTGCTTCCCACGACTCTTGCCAAACACGAAGGGCGGTTTCCATCCTTTTGACAAAATCGCCACTAAGTACACAATTGCCTGCGGCCCGAATCTCTTCAGAGGCGTTACGAGTAAGAAGCACCTGTTGGAGCAGTCCGTGAATGAGCACGTAGTTCCCGAAAGAAGATAGCGCAGTGACTGTATGGATGCTCTGTCCTGCTAACAACATACGCATCTTCTCTGGGAAAGGTCTCGGCGGCATATACGTGTCCCTCAGAGCCGACCACTCTTCCGCGTTAGGCGCCTGCCAGCTTGATGCGCACCCAGGAAGGTTGATGGCGACCTCGCGATGCAGGAGCAACGGTGGCACGTCAAATGCAACGGATTGTAAATTTAGAAGGGCGAAAGCGGCGAATAACGTGCGGCGGCGTTCTTCAAGTTTAAGACCTTCGGCCCATTGCTGGTTGGGCGGCGCGGGTTTCTCTGATACGTGAATCTTCATTTCGCGGGCGAGCATGGCGACTTGACTCGACATGCTAAGGGCGTCACCTATCAATTCTCGATCGCCCCACGACGCCATCGCCATCAGTACTATTATAGCTTGCAGTAAGCGGATGGTTCTGTCTTGAGCATGGAGCTCTGGTTCCCTCGTGCGTGTGTTTGCGCCAGTCGGCGTCGAAGGGACGCTTTGAGCATCGTCCATCGTGACGCGGTCATCTCGAGTCAGCCGGTCTAGTGCAGGTTTAGTTCTTCGCTTTAAACGCCAAGAGATCAAAGTTCGAGCAGCATCATAAATCTGATATCCTGAAGCCGCTTCGAACCGATAGAGAGCACCGACTGCGGCGAGCGACAGGAGAAGCTCAAGACCGATAGCTGCAGCAGAAAAAGTAACGCCGTGAATGAACGGCAAATGAACGGCGAAGCCACGGAAGTACCCTTCCAAAAATCTTGAGAGGGCACGATGTGATGGCAGCTTGAAAGAGCTGGGCAGCTCAGTACGAAGTTCCTGGGCTTCGTCGAGAATCTTGCTGTATTCACTAGCCTCAATTTTCCAGGGCCGGAGACAGTGGACTTGTCGAGGCCTCTGAACCTGATTTGCTGGATTGATATGCAATGGTGTCTGTTCAGGTCTCTCGGGCTCCATGGAAGGCAGTCGTGCCGCAAACCTCGGCAGCGACGACAATGCTTCCGTTTCTAATTCTCCATCGCTAGGCGAAAGTCTTTGATGTGTGATGCCTGTACTTTGCGCATCAAATGAGCTTCCATGCTCAGGCTGTATGGTGGACGGAGCTGCGCCCTGTCCCGTCGGCGGTATCCCCATGATCGGGGAGCCGGCATTGACCGGGGCCGCGGGTAGAAAGGACCCTGACAACTGAGTGTCATCCAATAAGAAGTCGAAATCGATGCCATCCATTCCTGCTAAGAGGTCTTGAGACAGCGAGTGTTGATAAGATAGTTCGGGAAAACCTGCGGCCGCACTATGCAATGCTAAGCTGCTGACGGGCTGGAAAAGGGCAGCTTCATCTCCAAAAAGCTGCGGTACGGCATCATAGCCATGTTGATGAGGCAATATTAGTGCTTCCGACAAAGACGGCCTTGAGAGAACTCCAGCACTAGTCGCTGTACTTGACAATGTTCCTTCGAGGATTGATGTTTCTGCTAATGGAGCAGACAGATCATCTGGGTTTGTAATGCTTCCGTCGGCGTGAGATATCCGCTGATGTCTCGAAAGTAGATCTCTATCGACTTGTGAGCGAAAGAAGCCCCTCTGGGAACTGAGGTGTGCCTGGGAACCGTACCTTCGAGAAAATCTCCGACCACACTCGCACAAAAAGGGTTGTTCTCGGGTGTCTGGGCATTATCGTTAGTGAGCCTCTGGCCACCCTTGCATAGAAGCCCACGGAGCCCAGAGTCAGGGCGTCACGGTACGTTGTGTACAGCGGGAGGTGGGGGTCCGGCTTACGGGTGCGCTCATGACGTTCGAGGTGCTCGAATCTCCTGAACTGTTTTTGGCAGAACCTGCAAGGCGGGACGTTGCGGCGGGGTCGACCCCGGGTCGCAGACATGACGAAGCTTCAGGCAGATAATCCCAACATTCACTGCTTTGTAATTAGCATGAAATTTGTCTATCAAGATGCGATTTGGGGCCACCGCAACGTCCGACCATGCTTCGTCAGCCACCGCAGATGAGCTCGGGACTAATGGAGTTGGAGGTAAAAATCCGTTGGGGTAGAAATTAGTTTTGGCCCCATCTCCCATCTCCAACACCGGCATAATTCTCCGTGCCTTTGTGTTAGACAGGGCAAAAGTCAAAAGTGGATATTCCAATGGCGCTGTTTGTGTGACCAACATACTCGACGAGCAATTACATCGATAATCACTCCTGCTTCTTATTCGCAGTAGGGAGATACTGGAAAATTGGAAGGTGGCTTGATGTATCGCTCAGATGTTGGCATTTAGTTGGCGGAAGTAAGAGGTCAAATTACAGTTGCTTCCGATCAAGTGCAAGCTCAATATGAAGCATGACGCGGTGTTTGACAACTATTTACATTAGATCCTTCGTAAGATCAAACTCGGCGCATTTGTAGTCAGATTTTGAGTTGAATGGGTTCTGGTGCAGCTCTTTGTTGCCATTCTCACACTTGGACTTGGGCCACAGCAAACCAGCCTGGCCCTCCTGGCCGGGAAAGTTGCCAGCCATCCAGATCGACCCCTTGGAGACATCGCTGTAGTTGCCCTTAAGAACAGGCATAGCAAAGAAGCAGAGTGGTGGCGTCTCGCTCGCCCAGCTACCCTCGCGGATGCCCGTCTTGCCGATGTGGCCATTGTTATTTTCCCAACATTCGACGGCGTTGCGGAGGGTCCCGAGCTTGTCCATGTTCCACTCGGTCCAGAGAGCCTCCATATCCTTGTTTCCACCGAGGGTCTGGGAGACCTTCTTGGGGTACCATGCGAGGATGTCGAGGCATCGTTTCTTGTCTGCCTCCCAGGCGTTGTTCGGGTTTGTGCACTTGTCAACAGGAAGGTCGTCTCTAACAACCACGTAAGCTCCTCTGAATTGTCTAGCCATCTGCCAGATAAGAGCTTGATCCTGCATTTTAGTCAGTATGAGAATGGTTAAAGCCATCATTAGAAGTTCGCTCACCAAATTGGTCTTCATCTTGCTGATCACGTCATCCAGATTGTTAAGAGGATGGTCTCTTAACCAGGATCCCCACCCGAAAACAGATACGGCCGGGTTCTTGACGCCCCCGACGCGCATGACTTCGGGAATGTCAGTCTGCTTATGGCCTTGCTTGCCAAATGTTGAGGCCACAATTGCCTTGATATTAGCGAAGCCCTGCTTGGCGACAATTGCAAGTAGGCCCCGGATCGTGTCTGTCGCTTCCACCGCATCGTCGGAACCACCACTATGTCGCTGATTAGCAGTTCTCAGGGACCGAGTGACGAACAATCTACTCACGAGTCTCCAGTAGCTGAGACCAGATACATGACACCACTGATACCCGCCAAAGGACCTCCGACGGCTGCAGCAGGTGTGGCGAGGGCACTTCCGATGCTGAAAGCTGCACCGAGGATAGAAGCTAGGTCGAGGGGTGCCTTGGGCGCGCCACTCTTGATACCTAACAATTGCCTCATGGTGCCAATCTGATCAGATGTGATGCCAATCGACTGGTCAAACTCGATAGAAAGCTGCGACATAAAACTGTGGAACGCTGCCATGGACTGGAAAAGATACCACAGCCCACCTTTGTCAATCGCATTGAAATCGTCTGAAAGTACACGTTAGTGGAAGCCCCAAAAGGCAAACAATGCACCATAGGATTCTCACCACATGTCAAATCATGATCGCAAGGAGCACCAGGTTCCTGACAAGAGAACTTGGTGTGGTCCTTCTTTGGGAAGAGCTCGCGGTACAGATTCTGCGCCCAATTGGAATGATCCGGCTGAGAGTTGATGTACTCGTCTGCCCACTGCTCGGCACCAGAATTATACCAAAACGTGCCCATATCCTTGATAGCGTCATAAGACTCTCCGGACTTGCAGTTTGGAAGCTTCTTGTTTAGCAGTGACTTGGGGATTTCACCAGGTGAATTCTGCTCAACCGGCTCGGCCCTACGTTGTTGATCAGTCGGCTTTTCCCGTTACGATTGAGCCAACCAAAGGACTTACGAAGTGCTTGAGCCTTGGAAGTCAATGCTCCAGATCATAGTACCTCCAAAACATTGCCCATCCGCCCAGGCCTTCTTATCTTTGAATGTCTCCTCATCTAATCAGAGTGAGTAAATATCAGGAATCAACTATCCACGCAAGGTAGACTTACCATCATAGCCAATCCACTGATCGTCCCAAGTAAGCTCCTTCATCAGAGAATCTTTCAAGTAGTTGGGTTTGAGACCCTTGTTCTTGATAAGGTTCTTGATCTCCCCAAGAGACATGACGCCATCAGAGTCAGTGCATTCTCCCTTCTTGCTCGGGCCTGAGAAAGAGCAGAGAAGTCCGTTGCAACTCTTGTCAGAGACAGTATAGCCACGGCCATACATTGCAAGACCGAAGTTGATCTTCTTGGGATCAAGCCCGTCGAACCATAGTGGAACAGTATTGTTGCCGATTTCACGGATGTCAGCTTGGCCGCGAACAATCTTGCCAAGAGTCTTGACGTCCTCATCCCAGAATCCATGAAGGTCTGGTAAGAAGATAGTCAGCTATAGGTTTCCTAGACGCCGGGTTGATACTTGTAATCAGTCACTTACCATAGGCCATGAACCCGAAAAAGTCGACGAAAGCCTCCATCGCTTTGGCGTCGAACCATCTCAGGTACCAATAATCAGGTGCAAGGGTCAGGCTGATGCCGTACTTGTCGCCATAAGCAGCACGCATCTCACGGAGAAGCATGGCAAAGTTGCGAGTGTCCTCAAGCTTCCTTCCACCACGCTTAGGCTCACCGGGATACTCCCAGTCGAGATCGATGCCAGTGAAACCATATTCGTCCATATACTCGCGGGCAGAAGAGATGAAAGCAGCACGATTGGCCTTCGTCGCTACCATGTCGCTCCAGGTATGGTGGGTCTTTGTCTCGGGGTTGCTGAAGTCGAAGCCGCCGACAGCAATCCAAGTCTTGAGACCGTCCTTGGCTAGGCCAGTGAACTCTCGCATCTGAGCAGGGTCGTCGTCGTGGGCTGGAACAACGGCGAATGAGGTTGGATCGATGAATGCAAAGGAGTAGAACAAATGGGTGAAGCCCTTGGTATCAAGCTGCTTGGGAGTCTTGGTATCGCATTTCCGGGTCCTCACGTTCCATGACTGGTAGTATCCAATTGTGCGGCCATTTGTGCTCCCGCCGCCTTTTGCGCATGATGGAGTAGAAGCGATGGAACAAGAGCCATAGCCGGCCTGGCAAGGTGCACTGAGGTTGATTGGGTCGGCGTTGTGGCAGAAGACCTCGGTGGTCTGATGGAAAGTAGTTGTCAGTCTCTCGAAAGCGAACGAGGGTACAATACAGATCGTGAAAGTACTCACACCACACCAGCCAGATTGCGAGCAGCAGAGATTCATGCCGCATGGCATATCGGCGTTCTCACTGTATTCTCCGCACATGGCAGTTGCGTCGCACTGGGACTGACATCCTGTCCCGCAAAAGTCGGGTCCATATCCGCAAATGCTATCGGGACCACAGCAGCTAAGAAAAATTTCAGAATCAGTCTTCCGTCTAAACTGCTTGATGCTTAGATAGCCATCAGGCTATGAAGACAGTGGCTAACCTTCCATCGACACATGGGCCATCTTTGCAGTAAAGAGGGCCACGTTTCTCGAGAGAGCGGGAGCTTAATGACCGTCTGGAGATATTGTCGATGAAGGAAGCATTTTTCGAGTCTTCGTAGTATTGCTCGAGGCTAGTCGTAGACTCTTGTGAAAGTTCAAGATCTTTGGTCGGGACTGGTGGGGCTTTGGATGGGTTCTGATGAGCTGGGCTCTGGGAAATTTCCTTAGCCCATTCCGGTGCTTTTGCTAATTTTTGGAGACGAAGGTCAGTCATGAATGTCTCTAGTCAAACTATGATCGAATCAAATTCAAGTGACAGAGTTGAACTAACTTATAACACTGGACCGTCGTACGAACGCGTTTTGACCATGAAGCCGGCGGCCCGGGGGGGATTGAGCGATGTCGGCATGGATGAGTGTGATGAAAGAAAAGGAATAGAGAAGAAACGCCAAAGAGGCGAAGCCAGATAGCTTCGACATCATGACGCTAGATACAACGACAGTGATGGTGCTCGATGATGCATTTTTTGGAACTCTAGGGTGATGTACCCGTATCACTCACTGTATTTATAACATACTTGTCATCGCGACCAGATTTTGTCTGTCCGGTCAATCCATTGAATTCAAAAAAAAAACTCTTCCATCCATCATCTAAGCGAGATTTTCATGTTCATTAGGTAAAACCGTCATCAACTATGTTACCCTGCAACGATCGTATTCCTTCTTCTCCCCTTGATAACCCCATAATCATCATTTGCAAAGGCGCTGTAATTACCGCAATCGTTAGCAGTTCGTATTCTGTCATCCCTTCTATGCATGCCGAGGCACTAGAACACGGAAAAGGTGCGGCCCCACGGTTCTGATAGAAACTGCAAGGCCGTCTGACTATAGCCAAGCCGTCCAGCCCTCAAATTTGAGCTGTGAGAGTCCCATGTTAGCCCGATACCTACCAAGTTGAGGCAAGTGCGGGATGCAGATGCATGTAGATTTCTTTCCTTGGCCCGGACCGCAAAGCTTGGCTCTATCCGGCCAGATCCGGTGGAGAGCCACAGGATCAGCATCCTTGCTAGGCATCAGGAACAGGGACTTTAATTCCACCTCACATGCGGGTGCGATGCTGAACCGCCACCATTGATGCTTTACGTAACATGAGAATGAGCCGTCGCTTCAGAGATTGTGGTCTGAATTATGGGCCGTCATCCCAGGGGTCATCAAAATCATCAAGTGGTCCCCTCGGACTCTTAGCGTACAACCACGGCACTATTCCCTGCGATGGGGCGAAATGCTGAATGAGGATAACCTCCCGAGCTATGCCAAGTCCAAGTAGTCCGTACTTCCATCCAAGGAGCATTTGTTCATATTCAACCTTTCAGGATGTCTACTTGGGAACATGGTATATATAAAATCTGTAAACCTGTTCGCTCTCCAAAACCACGAATTGCATCGTGAACTTACCTTATTTACCTACGAAACAAAAGTCTTTGGCCTTTCCCAATTCCATGCTCGTCATGAAGGCAGCTTTGTTCTGCTGGCTTTTGCCGGCCTTCGTCACGTCTCAAAGCGTCACAGCCACAACCGCAACACTGTCACCTTGGCAGACTGGAGAAGTCACGCCAGATGGAACCTGCGGAGGAACAACTGGATTTGTATGCAGCCCTGTCTGGGGCGCCTGCTGTTCCAAGGATGGTAAATGCGGTCGTTCTGCAGCATTCTGCGGCGATGGTTGGTAAGCCTTGCGCCTCATACCTTATTTACTGTCCTAGCACATGTGGCAGCTGATCACTTGACTTACACCGGATATAGTCAACCAGCCGCCGGTAACTGCAACGCGCCCGCACCTGCTCCCGCCCCCCCACCCGGGCCCGGGAGTGTCTCTCCCGACGGCTCATGTGGCGGAGCAAATCAGTATAACTGTACGACTTCCTCCTTCGGAGACTGCTGCTCTTCGAGCGGCTATTGTGGTACCACTTCGGGCCACTGTGGAAGTGGTTGTCAAGACCTTTTCGGCACATGTGGAGCGCCGACCAATATCAGCTCTGATGGACAGTGTGACTCCAATGGCAAGACGTGTTTAGGGTCAACATTTGGAGACTGCTGCTCATCCGGCGGTTATTGCGGAACATCCTCCGATCACTGTGATGCTGGCTGTAATGCGGCCTTTGGCACCTGTTCCAACGCGGGCTCGGGCAGTATCTCTACGGATGGAACATGCGGGAAGAATGGCAAGACATGCCAGGGATCCAAGTTTGGCGACTGCTGCTCCTCTGGCGGCTTCTGTGGCACTTCCAAAGACCATTGCCAGGCGGGCTGCCAGTCTCAGTTTGGCACATGTGGCGCAGAAGACGATGTTTCCACTGATGGTACTTGTGGGACAAATGGAAAGACCTGTAAGGGTTCTTCCTTCGGGGATTGCTGTTCTTCCACTGGATTCTGCGGCAAATCTACCGCTCATTGCGATGCTGGTTGCAATGCTGCGTTTGGCACTTGTAACGAAGCTGCCAGCGGTATCTCTGCTGACGGTCAATGTGGCAAGAATGGAAAGACCTGCAAGGGCTCTGCGTTTGGCGATTGCTGCTCTTCCGGTGGCTACTGTGGCAAGTCATCTGACCACTGCGATGCCGGTTGCAACGCATCATTCGGTACCTGCAACACGGCTGCTGGGAGCATTTCCACGGATGGAACTTGCGGTAAGAACGGCAAAACATGCAAGGGTTCAACCTTTGGAGATTGTTGCTCGTCTGGTGGGTTCTGTGGGAAATCTTCCGATCACTGCGATGCTGGTTGTAACCCATCCTTTGGAACCTGTAATGAGGGCGCCTCAAGCATTTCAACCGATGGAAATTGCGGTCCGAAGAATGGCAAGACTTGCAAAGGTTCAATTTTTGGTGACTGCTGCTCTTCTAATGGTTACTGCGGAAAAAGCACCGACCATTGTCGTAATGGCTGCCAGCTGTCTTACGGCCTTTGCAATGGAATCTCAAGTGATGCAGTTTGCGGCACGAAAAACGGCAAGACATGCGCTGGATCTGGTCTTGGAAACTGCTGCTCAAGTGGAGGCTATTGTGGAAGCACTGGCACTCACTGTGGCCAGGGATGGTACGTTTCAGTTCAGTTTTTGCGTGTCTAGTATTTGGCTTTTGTCTCTTCTTTGCATCAAATGAGGTGCGAAATGCTGGACTTTATTGCTGACGTCGTATCTATCATAGCCAAAAAGATTCATCGAGCGGCTGCCTGACAGCAAATATCCCGTCTGTCGATGGCACTTGCGGCTCTAGCAAGGGAGGTTTCACATGTGCTGGTGGGCCTTTTGATGGTCAGTGTTGTAGCTCTTCAGGGTTCTGTGGAACGAGCTCTTCGCATTGCGGAACTGGCTGGTGAGTTTTGCTGTTCTAGTCCTCAAACGAATTCTTTCATACTAACTTATGTTTCCATACAGCCAACCTGGCTCTGGACGCTGCGCCTAGAAGACGACAAGAATTTGCGTGTTTGCAATTTCAGGAATCAGGAAGTGAGCTCGTGGTAACTTGATTGAGAATTATGCCACTGTTTATAGAAAATTTACCTCCTTGTGAATGATGGCCCGTTGATTCCAATAATTCGATATCTTCAACCATGGAGAAAAAGTTTGCTCGCGTTAATCTTACCTCATGAAAAAAAGTGCCATGGCAGCACATATGTTGAACAGATCACGGGCTTTTTGAATGAAGCTTCGTGCACCTAGTCGAGGGGGCAGATGCTTTGCTTGGTTAATCCGAGACCGGGGCACACGAAGACTAATATGTTGAACCATTGTGATATCAGGTACGTATATCAACGTAAAGCCTAGGAGAGTCTGGCTAATGCTCGCTTTTCAATTCAATCTCGAAGCAAGCGTGTCTGATCATATGGAGCTTACGGTCTGACGCCTAGGCCGGGATGCAATAACGCCGGTGGGATGGGTGGATGATTTTCACCCCAAAGTTGGAGAAGAAATTACACGCGTTCAAGACCCAGATATCAACATCTGAACGCAATAGTCCAGCCAGGAAATAAGGTTCAATGACGTATTGAATCAGTCTATCGAATCATATCGTGATCTGCTTTGAGTCACGATGCGTGGTTGAGGTAATGTCATAGTGTGGTGGTTCAATGATACGCCTCTCAGAGTTCGGTGGCCACTGGAGACAAGTGACTGCCGGTTTGTCATCTCAAGACATATTTATCAGCACTTTCAAGGCGTTGCATCAAACATGAGAGTGCATTCGGACAAGACTTTTCTATATAATATTGATCAGCTAACCTGCTCTCATCATCTTTGCTAGCTCTCGGTCATCAATCTCTTTCATTTTGAGTCCAGACATCCTGCTCATTCACCAAACTCCACGATAACCCGTTACAGTTACACCTCCAGAATGGCAACTCAGCAGGTTTTCAGACTTCCTCAGCGCACATCCATCAACGACCTCGTTGTTGGGGCGGAGCCAATCCCAGAACCCTCCTCGAACGAAGTTCTGGTCCGCATTCGCAGTGTCGCTCTCAATTTCCGCGACTTCGCCGTTGCGACCGGACAGTACCCGTTTCCTGTCAAGGACAACGTGGTCCCCGGTTCCGATCTCTCTGGCGATGTCGTCAAAGTGGGAAGCCACGTTGGCGACTTCGCCCATGGTGACAAAGTGATCTCGTCTTTTGATCTGAGCACCCTTTATGGCGCCATGAAAGACTGGAATCACAGTCTTGGGGGCTGTGTAGATGGTGCCCTGCGGGAGTACATTGTTCTTCCAAGCTCTGCATTAGTCAATGTGCCTAAGGAGACTAAGCTGAGCTACTCCCAGCTATCGGCGCTGGTCTGCACTGGAACGACTGCTTGGAATGCTCTCTATGGCAATATAGCTCTCAAGCCTGGACAGACTGTCTTATTTCTTGGTAATTATATTCGATCCCACTTGCTCTGAAGAATACATCAAAGACCTGACTTGACACCTAGGAACTGGTGGTGTTTCCATTACAGGCCTCATCCTCGCTAAAGCAGCCGGAGCAACCACCATCATCACTTCTTCCTCAGATTCGAAGTTGCAACACGTGAAGGAGACCTACGGCCCTGACCATGTGATCAACTATAAGAAGACCCCAAAGTGGTCGGAGGAAGTCTTAAGGATTACAGAGGGCCATGGCGCCGACTACGTATTTGAGAATGGCGGTGCTGGAACAATTGCCGAGAGCATCAATGCCGTGGCGTACGGGGGGTCCATCGCCGTGATTGGATTCCTTGCGTCATGCCCGCAGGAAAAGATGCCTGATGTCGCAGCACTCGCCTTGTCCAAAGGCGCAGTTGTGCGTGGTATCATGGTGGGATCGCGGCAGCACTTGGAGGAAGTCACCCGTTACGTTGTCACCCGTCAATTGCAGGTTCCTGTCGAGAAGGAGTTCGGATCCAGTAGAGACGAGATGATCGCTGCCTTTGAGTATCTCACCAGCGGCACTCATATCGGCAAGGTTTGCATTAAGATGGCTTGACTTCTGTTCTGCACTCGTTTTAATACAAAATCACTAGTCGTCTTGGCTCATCCTGGTTGAATCGAAGAAAAAATAAAGATTTCGAGTTTGGGAAGAATTGAGGCCCATTCTGCACATTAGTCCTCCGACGATAACCGTTCTCGTAATGAATCATGTCGACGTCAAACATTAATTTCCGCCCTGCTAATGCACATTCATCCACAGACTGTAAGAGATCGTCATACCATTTCAGTCAGCGTCCACTGTGGCCGTAACTCCAGCTCCACAGAATTGGTGGGCCTTGGATCCAATAAGATTCAAGACCGTCTCTAAAACTTGCACTCACTGCTTTTGAGGGTAGTAAATTTTGTTATAGAGAAGACTTCGAATTTAATCGAGGCACCTTACGCCCAGCTGTGCATGTGAAGGTATCGCAAAGAGGTGTCACGGAAAGAATGGTTCATGAGTATTACTGATATCTAGGGAGGGAACGAGGTTTTAAATTAGATTACTTGAGCGAGGCACTGAGAACGGGGTATATGCATGGAAATATTTCGATAATCCTCATCTATCATTCAGGCTCTAGTGCTTTTGGAAATTTTGAACCCTCCTGACACTCGGTGTTGGAAGAAGCCGTTCGGGTCATAAGTCTGAGCCACCTTCTCCAAGAAGTCCTGATTATCGCCTCCGTACGACTGAAGAGGGTCCTGTGTCTGGTGTGCGTAGTTGATGTACTTGAAGGTTGTGCTTTGTCCTGTCCTTGCAGCATACTCGGAAATCTCATCTATGACTGCCCCAAACTTATTCGTCAACAATGCCTCGTCATTTGGGGTTGGAAGCAAGCACTCGACTTGAAGCACGACGGATGGCTCTGTCAGCTCTTCGTTCAATCCGAGGATATTAGGCCCGTTGTTAGCATAGTTAGTTGAGAGAGGAGTCAACACAAATATAATCGTGGCATTCTCGTCGAGTCTTCCCTCCAGGTCCGCAATGAGAGCCTCGAAGACTTCGAGAACTTTCCTGCCCATGACCATGGTTGCGTGGAAGCTCTGCGTAAACCACACATTGTACAAACCGAGTGTGCCTTGAAGCTGCCTGACGAATTCTGAGTTCGGGACCGCCGATCTGGTGTCAATAAGAGGCCCCAAGTCCGCGAGTCCGGCGAAGGAGGACGAGTTGCTGACGCCATCAACGTTGGCAGTAATGAAGGCCACCGAAGGGTCTCGCCCAGGACCCCACGACAAGGAAACGAATCCGCTCTCGGCAGGATTTTCTTCGTTGTCTCTGATCATAGTGATGAGGCTTTGCACGACAGGTTCCTTTTCTGTGTATGCGAATGCGACGATACCACCGTAAATGTCATTTGCAGGGAAAGTTCGCAGGTCGAACCTCGTCACAACACCGAGGTTGTTCATGCCACCTTTTAGAGCCTTGAAGAGGTCCGCGTGCGCCGTCGCATTCGCTTCGATCAGACTGCCATTAGCGAGCACCACCTGCGCAAATACGCTGTTAGCACTGCCTATTCCGCACGGTATGGAATCGCACTCGTCATGACCATCCGTACCTCGTAGTTCAAAACGTTATCGGCAGAAAGGCCGTACTTCGCAGAATACCATGAGAAGCCTACCAATGTTCCAGTTAGTTACCTCGCAATTCAACTAAGATTTCGTCTTACCTCCGCCAAGCAAGAACCCTCCTACACCAACGTGACCTTCGCGTCCGCCCGTTGTCATCACCCCTTGTTCCTCGAGGGCAGAGTACACTTCGCCCCAGCGCCCACCAGGGCCGAGCGCTGCGACACCGTGTCCCTGCGAATCAGGATTGTCCGTGTAAGTAATGGAATTGATGCCACCGAGATCGATGGTAACGCCATTGGCAGCATTATTCGATGGGAATGGTGAGTGGCCACCGCTACGTATAGCCACCGTCCAACAGCCAAACGCTTCGCTGTTAAGTGCCTTGATCGCGTCCGAAACCTGCTGCGAAGTCGTGGGCTTAAAGATACATGATGGTCGAACGTCCTGAACGTCGCCAGAATAGTAGGACTGAATGGTGACGGCGTATTCGGTGTCGTTCGAAAAGAAAATTTTGCCAGAAAGCCCAGCGTCGATGAGGACATCGCACTGCAAGATGATCGGTTAGTATCCTACTCTCAAGACCAACAGATTCACAAATAGAAGCCGACAGACCCCTGTAAATTGGGATGCAGCATTGGACCGAATGCCGCGGGCAGGTCCAAAAGACGTGGATGCTGCAAGTGCTGGAACAAAGGATAGAACCGCTGCAGCGGTATACCACACCGTTGAAGCCATCACATTAGTTGATGAAATGATCTTGGCGAAACCAAATCAAAAAAAAGTGGCCGATGTCTCTCCTCTTAAGACATCCATCGACCAGCATTCGGTAAACTCATCGGCACCGATGCTCCATCGTAATAAGGGCTGGCAAGGGGAGTCAGTCGCTTTCGGTTTCCATCACTTGTCAGCAGCCACGACCTTTCGTATATCACTGCAATCTATTGGACAGCGTATCTTGCATCGCTGTACGAGTTACATTTTGAAATTTCAAATGTTGAAAACGGCGCAGCTGCTGGGCGAGCTCTGCTGAGCTTGTCCTTCACGGATTCACTCCGAATACAGGCAAACATAGACTAAGCCTAATCCGCTTCTTACTGTTGGTCGTTAGATTAAGCGATGCTTCCTTTTCTTTTCATTGGCCACCGCTTGCATATTCTCGTGGGCCAACAGATTCGCCGAGCAGAAAAGCTGCGGCGCAGTGGAGACTGGAGCCATCCAGACTTTGGGGACATCCTCAATATGCATGTACGGACATGTGCCTGACCCAAGCATGGGCCCAGAGAGGAAGTTTCTCCGGGTCGAACCAACAGCATCAAGTTGACCCGACCTTTTCACCGTAAGAGAGTAAGGCGTAAGTAATCTCAACATGGACCAGCTATTGACCAGTGACTCAAGATACATCTCCGTTGCTGAGAAAATTGGCTGAATATGCTCTATATGCAATGTCAAGAATCGCGACTGGTGAGAAGATAGCCTCAACCTCCGCAGTCTGCTGCCGAGTTCGATCAAGGGAGTTTCAAGATGTGTAATAGTATAAGGAGCTTCAAATGGATAATTCAACAGCGAGGTGTCTCAGTATTGACTGTACGAGCAGTATGTTGAGACCGAGGTGGGCTTGCTGGATGAACAAAAGTTCTTTCTTTTCCGATCATCGGGCGGACGTAGGAATCCAGTCGCATTAGTGAAAAGCGCAATCACGAACGGAACTCCAACACTGCCCCTTTTCGTTTTTTATCTTGCTGTCTCATCATTTCTTCCGCGGTCTTTTTCAGTATCATTGGCTCATTTTCATTGCCAACTTTAGACTTATTACAATCACTTCCACAGAATTCTTGATGACCAGTACAGATGAGAGGCTTCAAAAGCTGTAAGGGAATACAAAAACTCTTCTCGACAGTACTTGCAGATTGGAGACCCTTGCTCAGTTGCTATCACGACACCCTTGAAAGATTTCGCCAGGTTCTGAGACGTCGGAAATCAGGCTAGCAAACCAACACGTCCCTTAGAGGTTGCAGGCAATGTTAAAGCTACCCGAAAAGAAGACTTGAGCACTGCGCCCGCCCCATAAAGTAACCCGTATCCTCGAAGATTAGGCCCAGGGCGCATTCTGATCTTATCTTCGTTCCTCTATTAATTACCTACGCCTTGGAACCTTCAAGTATAGTTCAGCTGACCATGCCAACACAATACCCCTTACCTTCCGGAGACCCATCTTTGACGACGACAGTGCTCGCATCAATATGGGTAATGGCATCAACGTCGACCATCTTTCTCGTGCTCCGAATTTACTGTAGATCAGTTCGTACTAGAATGATGTGGTGGGACGATTATCTCCTCATCATGGGATGGATGTTCCTAATGGTCGGGGTCTCACTCCAAACAGTCGTTTTCGGATCTGGTTACCTGGTTACCACTCTGTCAGGCCCCATCATTACCCCCGCAAACTTGGCATCCGACAATGCAATGAAGCTTTCCTTAGCTTTCAGCAAGACGTCATTTGCCCTCACCTTGCTGAGATTCACGACAGGCTGGTTGCGTCCTGTGGTTATCCTGATCACTTGCATGACAGACATAATGTGCCTTGTGCACACAATCTTGGTTTGGAGACCGACCTGTGGAGCTGAAAGCGCGTTTTCACTTGGTTCGTGCTGGTCAATCAACAGCGGCATCTGGATGAATATGATCGGGTCAAGTGAGTACTTCTACTGAAGCTGGGCTTGTCTTGATCTAACGTCTTGTTGGGAATAGTTGTCTCCGCGGTGACAGATTTTGGCCTAGCTCTGATTCCAATTTACTCGGTATGGGACTTACAAATGGTCAAACGCGAGAAAGTCGGCGTCGCGATTGCTATGAGTATCGGTGTGCTGTAAGTGAGATAACCACTCATTCTTTGCCTTACCAGGTCTGCCAAACTACTCGGGGCATTTACCTTATCTGCAGGTTCACTGATTACCATTATAGTGCAGGAATCGTTGCTGTTCTCAAAGCTGTGGAAGCTCTTGAAGTTACGAGAGTTGTTGGAACCGAGTGTCAGTGTCATTCATGTGTCTTACCTTGAGTTGCAAGTGGATATTGACAAAACTATCCCTCTCGCAGTTTCTCGCCGGCTTGCCGTCTTGAGCATTTGGATTCACGCAGAACCCAATGCGACGATTGTTGCAGCCTCGATACCGGTGCTGAGAGTGCTGATACGGGATGTTGCAAAATCATTTGCATCCTACCATCCCTCGGCTGCACACTACGTAAAATCCGACGGAGTCTTCCAGAGTGCCAACCTCCCGAATGTACGTGCAACAAGTATCAACAGCGATCATGACAGCGAGACGGTGATTCTTCCTATCTCCAAGCCAGATATGGTAGCGGATGATCGGTATCGAGCCGAGGGCCAGGAAGCTGTCGAACTTCGTAAGCTTCATGCACACATACCCTTGGGGTAGCATGAATGCCAACTGGTCAGGCTCCAAGAGTTCACTAAGGACTACCGTTTCACCCTAGAGTGTTCTACCACTTTTGTCGGGGTGTATATATATCATTAAGACAAAGATAGGTACCAAGGTGTTTGGGATGCGAGCTTCTACTTGACGACGACCGTCAGTTACTGGATTGATGAGAATACACAGTCAAATGAGATGATCTGAAACTACGGAGAGAGCGAATAGAAGATTGGAAAGAAGAAGCACCTCTTTAACACAAGTACGTACCTACTTGGTGCATACCCATTTCAGAAGCCGTGAATTCCAAAAGGGAACGATCATGCTAGAGAAACATTACACCTCCTTATACAACCCGCCAATGAGCAAAGACCGATCCTGATTCCCATAAGAAGCCTCATACATGTTGTTCTTGCGGTCGTACCAATCCATAACATTTGTCAGCCGACCTTCTCCATCGATAAACTCAACATCATCGCTAGGTCTTAGGAAGTATGTGACAGAATAGCGATCCACATCTGGCAACGGAAGGACACGATGCACTGCCGACTTCAGTCTATCGCGCGTCAAGAATCGTAGCACATCAGCCACATTGACCACCGCGCAGCCGGGACGTGGCTCGACATACTGCCACTCCATGGGTGTTTCCGCCTTTTCTTTCTTGGGGTCATTATTGGCGTGGCCCTCACTGTGTCCTCTGTGGTAGCCACTATCGAGACTTTCGTCTGAATCGTGAGACGTCGAGGAGGAGGCTGAGGACGGTGAGGATATTTCGGGAGTTGAAAGGACTTGCAAACCCCACTGGGGCGCAAAGACAAGTGTCAGGGTGCCATAGTCTGTGTGGACATTATGTCCGGCATAACCTCCAGTTGGATCCATCGGGATATAATGCAGGAATGCAAGGGCACTCTTAGACGGGCAGTCGCTTCGGTGGAAGTGGTTGAGGCTCTGCGCTCCCTTCAGCCCCAGAGCGTTCGAGATACGGTCAAGGAGCACTCGAGTAATGTAGTGACACTGGCTCTGGAAAGAGGTGAATGTCTGGAGGTTGTCTTCTACCACTGATGGTAAGCCCCATCGACCGGCCAGTTCAAAGCTGCCCGTCTATATGATTGTTAGAATCTTCGTTGTGTGTGACCACGTGTCCTACCGATACTTACTTACCTTGAGAACTTCCCAGCCATCTCGACCTCCGTGCGTCCCAGCCTGTGAACCGATTGGCTTGTATCTAAGGACAACATTTTAATTAGCTTCAGCAAGCAAATCAACAGGCACTTGGCTTAGAAGGACAGCTTTGACAAACCCATGAGATGCCATGCTGATAGCCAGTTCTTTGCGCTTCGCAGCGGTTGGCTGGTCGAACCAGTCCTTCATAACAATGTTCAACCTCTCAAGGTTCTCTAACATTGTAGCAGAATACTGGTCCGAAATGTCCAAATAGAAGAAGCCAACATTCTCGCAGGCAGAGATAATCTTGTCAATGGTCGCTGGGTCGCGGTCTAGTACTTTGGAAAAAACCACAGTATCTAGGTTCGCAGTCGGTGCATAAGGGGCAGCAGCACCATCCATCTTTCTTGAACCAGCCACGGTCATGTTGAAGAGGTGAGAGGAATCAGATGTGATGCTGTAAACGCACTACGACTGTTGACGGTGCAGAGGAGTAGGTGTTAAGGTAGGCGGGCTTGCTAGATAGGTAGTTCATATAACTGTCTGACATGAGCCGCAATCTTTGGATCGTCTTTCTTCGCGGCCGACAATTTTGCTCAAATGCGATATCACGTATAGCTACACTGGATTACGCGTCATTTGAACGCCTTGCTGATCCTATAGCCGTCAAAGAGACCAATTGTGTCTATGTATCTTCCAATCGCCTTCGTCTGACCTGAAATCGGGCCATGATCTTGTTCGCTCGGCCTCAGCCAGATACATCTCAATGACATGACAGCCACCTCCAATTTGTATATTGTATCCCCCTCAAGCTATAAGAGACATCTCCTCTTCGTTTACAATGTTCTCTTGATGTATTTCGATGCCTTCTCGGACTCCTTGTCTCAGATCGTAAGTACTAGCGAAATGCGCCTCACGGCTGCGTCCGCTGACTGCCTAAATTACGGGACTTTTGGTTGAATCCCTTCGCTCTATGGGCTTATCTTCAAGCCTATGGTGTTCAACCTCTCGTCTGGTGAACATCGTACATGTATCACTAGGCGCCAAGGTCCAGCCGAGGCTGAAAGTCGGAACAAGGCGGCTGCGAGCGCTCGGCGAGGTGGTGGGCGGGGCGGTGTCTCACCCGGGCTGGAATCTTATGTGGGAGCATTGAGCTTGTATTCTCCAGTACCCACGCGGCTGTCGCACAGGAACGCTTTCACTCCCTCAGAAGCTGTCGGCAATCGGTGCCCGATATCCGCATGCTCATCTGTCATACAATCACGACAAACTTATGACTAGAAAAGGAAAGTGCAAATACAAAGTTTGGGAGGCGTTCGCCGCTAAGACAAAAACGCGGCGGAACGGGAAAGTAAGCGTTGCATTGCAGGGAGAGGGTGGCCCAGTGAGGATGTGGGGGGAAGGATCGGAATGGAGTCATAGCCACCTCTCGGCGCACTCACTTTCACATCACTGGTCACTTCGCTTCCCTGCTTGACTGAAATATGGAAACGAAGCGAGTTGATAACCAAATTATTCTCAAGATAATCACAGAATCGCCACCGTCATTATGCACGTCAGCCCGCGACTGAAAACAGGCCGGTGGCAGGTAGCTCAACTAGGCAGACTCGAGAACTGGATAGAGATTGTAATTTCCGTAAGATCTAGAGCTGTTTTGATATGGAGGTATCAGAACGTATCTAGGAGCATGGCTTATAGACCAAATGCAGAGATTGGAAACAGAAGATTATATTTGCCGCCTTCTCTTCCGTTTCACGCACCCTGTTGATCCTGACTGGCATCAACACTTGTCCACGCTTTTTACAATGCCCCATCCTGAAGACACAACTAGCCCGAAAGGTCTTGGCAAGTTCGGTGAGCTTGTGAGTGCTCTTAAAGACGCTCTCGGCTCTTCGGGGCTGACCTGTGATGATGTCGACCTTGACTTGTTGATGGATCTCATGAAGAATTATGCCAGCAATGAGAGAGAATGGGGAGCTTTTGCATTTGCCAATTCTAGCATGGCATATACTCGAAATCTCGTAGATGAGGGTAACGGCAAGAGTAATTTGGTAAGGCCCGCGATCATGAAAGATGCCAGTCTGTTTCTAATTCGTATGGATCTAGTTGGTCCTCGTCTGGACACCCGGAAAGGGAAGCCCCATCCACAGTCATAGCAACGCCCACTGCTTGATGAAGATCCTCAAAGGAAGCCTGACGGAGACACGCTACGACTTTCCCCAGGACTCCAATCGGGGAACCGACTCAGCCGTTTTGAATGATACCAATCAGAGCATGCATGTGGCTTTAGAATCAGTTTACACAGAGAACCATGTGGCCTACATGAGCGATGACCAGGGTGTGCACAAGATGTGGAACAACAGCAATGAGTTTGCTGTCTCGCTCCATCTCTACACGCCGCCCAATATCGTCAAGAATGGTTGCTATGTTTTTGACGCAGAGACTGGGAAGGGAACTCTTGTAAAAAACTGCGAGTACTATTCCGTTCATGGCCACCGAGATACAGACACGCTGGCCAGAGTAACAAAGAAACTCGCACCATCTCTTCCTTGAAATTTTAGACTAGAAGTATACGCTCAATGCTATATGTTCGTGTTATTTTCACCAAAATATTGTCAAGCTGCAAGGTCTTCTAAAAACCAAATCTGAATTCTCAACTACCTTGGTGAATGAGCAACCGACGTCTGAAGTGTGCGATCGTCTTGGTTCAAAGACACACAGAGGGAGGACCTTCGAGAGTTTTGCTTGAAAGAGAATGTGCGATTTCATTTCCCCGATCTGGCGAGTAAGAGCGATTGCCCGATATGCTGTCAAATCCATTTATTCACCGGAATCAGATTTGTGTCCTATGAGCACCCATTGCAAAGGCAGGCTTCAAATTCCACTTTCAAGTATATCTACTGATGCTTGAATTGATCTGATATACTGATCGTTGGGGAGGAAATTACAAGTTTTCAAGCTGTCTTCCGTTTTTTTAATAGACCAAAGGCTCCTAGGGTAGCTGCGGTCATTGTCGTCCCTAGGAGAATGATGAATGATCGCCACTTTCCAGCACCGTACCCAGGCTGTACTCCAATACTCTCGCTGTTTTGAAGAACAGCCGCAGCTATGTAGCCTGACGCCACACCTATAACACCTCTGGTAAATAGGAGGATGCCGGATACGAAGAGTTCCTCGGCCGGCCGCTCAGGATCATCGACCGCAATTGCCGCCATGTGGCTTCGTAGAACCATGAAGCTAAAGGCAAATGCCCCAAATAAGATCGAAGTGATCACCATATTCCAGTAGTATCTACCCAATCCCCATACAACGAAGACCGCAAAGCTGCTGACGAGGGTGCTTAGCAGCATGGGTATCAAAGGTCCGATCGCATCTCTGTTGTATATGTTTATTAGCAACGAGTCATACGTAGACTTGAGGTCCATTTTACTTACGTCAAGGCTCCCAGTGAGATTTGACCGATGATCCCAAACAGCGACAGGAATGTGACCAACAAGGCGCCTTTCTCCGGCGAGACACCCAGGTCCGTGGCGTAACTGGGCAGGTAGTTTGCCGGTAAATTGTTTGCCAGACTTTGCAGCGTCATGGAAAGAACAAAGAGCCAAAACACTGGCTTTCTGAACACTCTAGTAGTTGACGATGATTGTCGAGCTGCAGCCTCCATTTCTGATTTACTTGTACGTCGAGGGCAAACGAAGATAATGCCAAGTGATATGATCACTGCTGTAAACACGGCCCATCCAATCAGGGTTGTACGAGGCCCGAAGCGCTTCAGCAGAACGGAAAATATTGGAGAAAGACCGGCAGCCGCGATGTTAGGGGCTCCGAAACTGCCACCATCACATTAGCTAGTCGTTCCGTTGGCTATGAGTTTCCATGCATCATACAATATGCCGTTGGCAAGACCACGACGCTTGAGGAACCACTCGTCCACGAAGCTTAAGCAAGGTGCGAAGAGAAGGCCGCTCGAGAATCCATACATGAGCCCTTGTGTCATGATGACCTGCACAGCCTGGGACAAACTGTCAACATTTCGATTGAATACAAAGACTGTTTGGAAACTGCTTACAGTAGTCGAGAAAGCAGCGCCAATTGAAGATGCTACCACTAGCACCATACCACTCCACATCATGTAGCGTCTATAGTGAGGGTAGGCTGTGATGATCTTGAGTAGAAACGGCGGCAGAGTTTGCAAAAGGCCCTGGCAAAAGTTAGCTCAGTGGTATAAATGAACATTGAGCGTCCTTACCACCACTAACAGGCCTGTAGAAGCGACTAATTGATTCCCTTGTAGAGGAGGAGTCTTGAAGTAGTATTCTCGAAATACACCCTGAGTGGCTCCGAAGCCTATATTCATGATTGTCAAAATGGCCTGCAACAGAGCGACTCTCATGTTGACTCACCCCAGGTTGCCATTGCAATGACGGAGATAGCAATGAGACTCGTCCAAGCTGCTCTTCCACTGTCTCGAGGGGGTAGATTCTCATTGCTATCATGCTGCTCTTCACTAAGTGAGGCAGAGTCGGGCACCAAGACTGGTCCCGTGTTCACCGACTTCTCATTTGGCAGCGGTGCCTGCCTCTCCGGCTCACTCGAGATCATCGTTGTGCAAAAGTCGATTCGGGTGCGGAAAAGACGAGAGGGATGGTGTAGAAAGCAGCACGAAGACTGCCACTCCCGATTGTTGTAGGTGCTGGTATTCCTGGAAATCGACTAATTAGGTGTGAGAGAAGGTATGTAGGAGGCGGGATTGGAACCCCAAAGTTGGTCGTGCTTACACGTATACGTAAGCTTGATTGTTGGGCTTCCTGACTTGGCAAACATAGACGAAAGATCAATCCAACATGCCATGAGTCTTGTTATGCTTAGCCGAAGACGCTAAGTCTGCCGCTAAGCCCGGCGCGAACCGAGACGTTGGCCCATTGCACGCCTCCCGGGCGATGACTAGACAAGAACGGATGGCAAAGTATTTGCATGTACTGCTCAAACCGGATCTCGGTGCAGCCTGAGCAAGCGCGGATCTCGGTCGTGAGCCGCTGTTCACGAGATTTGAGCGACGGAAACCTTTTTGGATCATAATCCTGGTCGCTTGTGCACGTTTCACGATTAGGTCGATGTCTATTCGTTGGCAAAAGTGCCAAGTAAGATCTCCTTTGAGGCCCCTGCATCCCGTTGTGCCTCATCTTTTGGTCCCGTTGCTCCGACGCGGCATGCCTTATCATGAATGGCTCGACAAGGATTTGCGTCCACTCCAGAGTGCCGGCTGAAGCCGCACGCCGTGACCGTCACGGACAACCAAAGCACTTGCCCGCCTTGGGATATGGAGTAAGACTGGACCGTTGTTTGACAGCTAACAGTATTTGACAGAGGCGCAGACAATGTGAAATATGACAGGAGACCTCTTAGTCCCGACCGGACGCTTTCGTAGCCAATCATCAGATCTACTGATCTCGGGCCGAGCAATATTATGCTCCTAGTGCATGATGCGTCTCGGTGAATATGCAGCTCGACTAACTCCGTTGATCCTTCTGAGGGTTCATGGATCATTATCCTCGCGCCCAATGGTGATCGCGGTGTGATTTCAGCCTCCGACGTCTGATGAGACTAGCTGCGTGGGGGGTTCGAGTCCTAACCCGTCTGTCTACCTGGTCGCCCGCTGATCCTCAAGTTAGTTCAAGTGATTCGAGACCTTCTCGATGTAGCTCCCTTCCCTGCTCTTAGGCAGCGACCCTGTTCGATACGAATGGACGAAGAGGGAAGGATGATATGCGAGAAGGATGTTTTCGGATGAAAAACTTGTTGCTTACCTTACTTAGTTGAATGATGGCGGCTTAGATGCCACCATCTCAGTATGTTCAAGAATGCGTTTCGATGCCTTGGTCCCGGCAAATCTTGAGGCAAACTCATCCATGTAACGTTACGGAATAAGAATGCGCTGACGAGATGAGCTGACGATACCGCACTGGTGCTCGCTCGGCGTGAAGAGTGTGGATTCCTTGTACTCACTATCTGCACGTGCCAATCAATAGTGCCATGATTCCCTACAGATTGTCATGGGCGAAACAGAGGGTCTTGAAGTCATCCATCGATGTTTTTCAGGCGCTGTTATCCCCTTGCCAGTCTTCTTTGCCCTTTCTTTCGGATAGGCCTCTTGCTCTGCCATATTCAATAAAAGAGAATACGTTACGGGGAGACCTTCTCGTCGGATGAATTCAAGCCTTTGGAGTCGGTACTATTGATCCAAGTATATATAAGTAAGAGCTTAAGGAAAGCGGCCCAAGACTGTTGGTGAAATTGAAAGATATGTTACTAAACATTGCTTACATGTGACTTTGTTCATCAACTACACCTGTTCAGCCAAACTTCCAGCCTGAACTACGGCAGGCTGGACTACCTTTTCAAGCCAAATTGTGAATAAGATTCTCTTAGTTCAAACAGAAGAAATGATTACCAACATGTGATGTTCTAGGTTCCTCTTTCATTTGAAACACTACCAAAAGGAAAACCAAGCTTGAGTTGCCTTCATGTGCAGCCATGAGCTCGTGTTAGATCTTGCAAACACGAACTGGATAATTAAGATAGACCATCGTGTTGCGATATTCTGCTATCGTTGAACTCCAGTGCACATGGCTGGTTATCATGCCTAACTATTCTGAGATGGGACAATGGACTGGGCTGGTCTGACTGAATTTGGTGGCAATAGTCTGACAAAAAGAACAAATCATCATCCCATACAAACGTGTGATGGTTTTTTCAGTCCTTAAGGGCGCAAAAGATCAAACTTAACGGGATCAGGCTTTCAAGGATAATCACACGATAGGGAACGCTTTTTAACTACATGGTACGCCCGATGTATCCCAAGCACGCATTCAACTCAATACTCCCTGATGATTTCAATACAAGAGGCTATATCATCCGTCGAAAATAGTCAATTAGAGTCTGATTGGCCCACAGCTTCGATTATCTGTGGGCTGACAGTATGACCCCACACGGACCAATGGTTCTTAGCCAAGGCAAATGTTTGCTTCGAACTCCATCTTACTCCTCACCGACTATAAACTGAAATCTTGTCACCTCCCGACCCAAATCGCCACTTTCTTAATCATCAGTATATGGCTCATAAGTGCCCTATTCGAGTTCCATGCATAGTCGAAGAGGAAAAAAATGCTATTCTGTCTCATATGTGTAAGATGAAGACTATGTGTCCCATAAGAAAAGTATGCAAAGCCTCAGCGTCGGTTTCATAAAAAAAGGGGGTCGCGAGGATCGCCAAGACGTATGAGATTGCCAAGCGATCTGGCGTACATTGGGCCTGGGTGGACACGTGCTGCACCGACAAGAGTAACAGTGCCGAACTCACCGATTTAATTCCATGATGCGCTGGTATCCAGAAGTCGAACTTCGCCACTCGTACCTCTCCGATTCTGTGGAGCCTTAAGTGGCCGGTATGCAATTGTCAAAAGCATCTGCGACTGGCGTGACCTCAAGAATTGCAGCCGGTTTACTCGGTGATGGGACTCTGCAAGAGCCTTTTCCACCTAACAAGGCAGTCTTGCTTGACAGGTACTGGACACGTGCAGTTTGTGGCACACAGGAATCTATACGCGGATATAGATCAGTTTTCAATCGTCTTCACGAAGTGACACTACAAGACGGCATTTTCCTCTCCGAATTTTCTTGGCATATGGAAGCTGAGAAACTTGGCGGTGTCTCTGAGCAGCGGTATGAAGGCATCTATGTGAATTCGTCTTCTGACTTTGGTGGCTGTGCCGATTTTCGTTCTCTACTGGGGTCGATGAACGACTCCGGCGATATTTACATGACCAACAAGAGAGTCAATTGGTCATTAATAGCTGAACACCGTGATGAGCCTCTGTGGAGTGCACTCGCACCAACCCCAGCCTGATTCAGACTCATCTCCGCAGTATCACTCCCGAATGTCGACAAGGGCGGTCCACGCACAGGGTCTATTTGCGAAATGAAGTTAGTCGCCCTGATTGGAGAAATCTTTTTGTTTATCTTCAAGCTTTCCGAAAATGAATTTCAGCTGCAAAACGAGCGCGAAGGTCTGTCTCTGAAGAATTCCGGGATCCGGCGCATCGCCTCAAAGGACTCAAGTATCACATCCCCAGAACCCTATCCAAAACCACTCCAATGCCATACTTTCTAGCTTTGAGCATCACTTTACACAACTGTACGAAATCTGACAGCCACGGACTTGGTCACTCGAGCTCATCGATACTTCACTCCCGTGAGTGTAGAATCGGGTATATCAGCCAATCCAAATTCCCGGTCAACACGTAGTTATGACAGCCATCACTTTCCGGCTTATGCCAGAGAAATTCATGAATGGGATGGTCGCGAACAGGGCCATATTACACGAACCTTGGGTGTGACCGCCAGCATTTCAGCGTCGCAATGGGACTTGTGCAGGATGGGCATGGCGATTCGAAGACCGGAAAACACCCCCAACTAAGCGAAAGCCTCGCGACCGAAGAATTATATCCCGCCAACTCCTATCCGAGTCAGGTCTATGGAAAGGTGAGCAAGTTGCGCCCTCAGGCTGTGGCACCTTTCAGTCCTCGGGTAGGCCGTTGACGCTCGTCCCCATGTCGACGAGGATGTTCAGCCAACCGAAAACAACTCTACAAAGGAAAGCATTCGTCTTAACAGAAATTGCAGAACGACCTGTGCTGGTCAAAGCGAAGACCAAATCCTACTCTGATCCGGACAGGATGATTGACCATGAAGTCAGAATCCCCGTCACGCCTGCTGCAGCATCTAGTGAAAGCCTGCGGCATATGTAGTACTACCCATTGGGAGCTTGAGTAAAGACGAGAACTTGGCTAGGGTCCTGGCTGAAATGGGTATGAGTGTAAGCCAAAAGGGTAATACTGGCACGGGGCGAGTTCACTGAGAGAATCTGTTGAAAGCTGCCCTACTCGAGAGGGCGAGGGGGCTCTCTGCTTATGTATCCATCTCTGGGAAGATAAACCCTTAGAGGCCAGATATACGACGTACTTCGGCTCCATTGAACCCTACCAAGGGTGTCTCGATGTACCCTTCAGCTCGCTATAGAGAGTGAGCGGTTCGTGAAGGTAGCTGATGGACACCTATGTGGAGCTCATGCGAAACCTTGATCTTTGTCATCGTTTCATTTGAAGTTTGTGAAGAGAATGCGAGATGTAGTTCTTGGGCCTTTTGTGAAATTCTCGTCGTTGTCTAAATCATTTCCGTCTCTGCGGCGTGTCGTTGAGCTCGACATAATCAATGTAGACTTGACGTGCCCGGCCAAAAATCAGGATCATAGCCTTTCCCACGTATACTTAACAACATATCGAATTATTTGGTTGCACGCAAAAACACCTCGGTTTCTAAGTGAGCATTCAAGGGGAACCTGTTCAGAACGGTTGCGTAAGGCAGCTTCCAAAAAGGCCAATGGAACTCAGGTATATCTGATATGGGCGGAATACATACAGGAGCTGAACTTCGTGAGAATCAAGCTTTCTGCCAAATGCTACTCTGGGAGTAAAACGAGCAAGGTACTTTAGACAACGAAGCGGGATAACTCATACCGCTTCGTCTTCAACTCCACGAATCCATGATCTCAAGGCGTGATCGTTGCACCTTCCGTTTTCTCATGAACTGAAGCTTAAAAGGGTATTAGGTCGGCGAAAAGCTTTTAGAGTTTATGTGTCGCTTCCCCGCGATAGAGAAACCGAAAAGCCTAGAATCAGTTCACGACGTGGCGTAATGCGTTTTTTGAGTGTCTGTGACTGCCGTTAGTGCCGTTTAACCGGAGAATCCGGGCCTGCTAATCACCAATCGTTCCCCCTCAGGTTACAGAGTAAGTGTGCTCTAGCACCAAATCTTAATTGACCGGGAAATCCATCCTCATGTACGGTAAGCCGTAA